CACTGAATCCAGAGTCCTGCAGAGACCCTCAGCGTTTATGTGAGTCCAAGGCTGTCTAGCTGGCGGGGATGCAAAGCAGATCACTGAAAATCAAAAAGGTGCCGCGTTCCATCCCATCCCAGGAATCTAGGCTGGGGAGTGCATGAAAGCCCCTGAAAACGCAGAAAGGCAGACCCGCAGCCTCTCCTAAAAATAGGGCGCATCGATTGAAATACAGACACAACGGAATGGGGCTTCAGCAATACATTACGGGTGGCACCAAAAGAACAGGTCACGGCGACTTCCATGGCAGAATAAATCAAGGCTGGCGTCTGTTCCAAATCGAGGGCAGTGCAGTTTTAAAGTCCAGCGGAGCCGCTGTTTCCTCAGCCTTCTATTTCCGAGTCATGGTACCCATATGTTAGAGCTCCCTTGTGGGAGAGATACCTCGGTCCTCGGCTTCGCAAGAGAGAGAATTCACGCCGAAGCCTGGTTTGTGATCCAAGTGAGTTTCTAGAGGACAGAAACGGCACAAATGCTCGGGACCACGGCCTGGCCACACAGGCCGAAGCCCAGACACTACACCTTGTGTCAGAGCCACGGGGAGAGAGCACCTGAACAAACTTCTGGCTTTTCAGAGCCCCCGTTGGGAGGTGTGGTCGATGGTACTGGTTAACCCCATTGGCTGAATTAAATTCACCTGGCCCAGATGGACCAATCCAGGTGTAATGCCCAACTAGGTGTACCACCCATTCCTGGCCAGAAGCTCAAACCTCTGAGCATGCGTGATGGACACCCCAGTCCCTGTGCTAGCTACCTGAAGTGTGGAACGTTTTAAAATTTAAATTATTCTGTTACCATATTTATTTAATTTAGATTGCATTCTACTTTAATTACTAGGTGTGTTAGACAGGGTTCTCTAGAGAGATAAAACCAAATTGCTGATAATTTAATATATTTATTTATAAAGATAAGTAGATATATAACAAGGATAATTTAATATATTTATTTATAAAGATAAGTAGATATATAACAAGGAATGAACTGTTAAAT